TTCAGCTTGGCTGGCGAGGGGGAGCCGAGCTACGAACAATTTGCCCAACTGTACAGTGTGACGAGGGCGAAGAGTGCCGATAATGGAGGGTGGGTGCAGTCCAACTGTCTATCGGCAGGTCAGCGTGGACACTTTGTGGTTGGGGTGCCGAGCTCCCAGAAGACCTGGCGTAAGCGTCGGGTCATTGTCTCTGGTGACTGGGAATCGGCACCAGGAGTGATCGTGGAGAGGAGGATTCCTACGTCCTTCCATACAGTCGGTAGGGTAGAGCCTGCCGTTCGGCAGTTGGTGTTTTTGTTTTTGTTTTTGTTTTGTTTTGTTTTGTTTTTTTTTTGTTTGACCGTCTGATGTTTGTGTTTCAATGTCCTTGAAACGGCCGTCTGCACCGATCAGAGAAGTGAAAGCGATCGAGAGGGTGAGGACGAAGATTGCCGAAGAAGATCGCTTCTTCAAGGAGTTGCTATACTTCCGGAACCTTTACAATGTGGGCTTGATCGGCAAATCAGAGCACGACCGAAGGTTAAAGGAGGAAGAGGAAGAGGAGAAAAGGCAAAGTGAGTGATGCCGTTCGGCAGGCGTCGTGAGCGTCTTCCCTTTCACATGTACCGTTTCTGATATGACTTGTGTTTTTGCAGTGGCAGGTGGGCGTCCAATGAGCGAGGCGACCAGGAGGCGGCTGGAGGGGCATGGGGCGCCGAAGCCGAAGAAAGGGCAGTCCCCCAGACCGAAGAAGAAGGCGGCGGCAGGGGCCTCAGGTGATGAGCAGACGGTGGCGGATCGCCGCCGGGAGAAGCAGGCGGCCGAGGCTGAGGCCGTTCGGGAGGTGCACCTCCAAGTAACCGGAAAAAGGATGATTGAGGGTGCCCTCGACGCAACGCCGTTGCCGAAGCGGCCAAGGGGGCCGAATGAAGGGACATCGGTGGTGATTCCCGATGATGAAGGAGAGGGAGAGGAGGGGCCGGTGAACATTGCTTGCCCTCGGAAGGCTGTGCCGTTCATCAACAGTATGATCGATGGCGCTCAAATGGAGCTGTCAGAGATTGAGCAACTGTTGGCGAAGACGTTGCGCGAGCAGACCGGGCGAGCCTTCCGGCTTCAGGCTGCAGTAAGTGTTTAACTTGTTGTTTTTTGTTAAAGTGGTTATGCGTTCGGCATACTAACTTTGTATGTGTTATCAGGCTGATATGGAGATGTGGCTCTGCGTGAAGCGAGCCATCAATGCTGCCGAACGGTACCAAAAGAAGTTTGAAGAGGGCCGTTCGAAGATCGCTGATGCCGGAAAGCTCATTCAGGAGGCCGACCGGCGTGCTGAGGAAAATGCTGCGAAGATAGCGGAGCTGACATCGAAATTGGCAGCAACGGAGTTGGATTTGGTGGCGGCGCAGGAGGCGAAGGCAGCGGTGGAGGTGGCTATGGATGCGGCCGAACGGTCGCATGGCAAGGAGGTAGAGGAGGCGAAGGCGAAAGCCGTAGATGACTACCGAGCGTCGGAGGAGTTCACGCTTCTGGTAGACAAAGAAGTCATGGAGCAATGTGACGACTTTGTCTATCGATTCAAGCGGTACAATGCAGAGAAGAAGCTGAACCTGAACTTTCTCCGGGATCCGCCGCCATTACCGGAAGGGGTAACCGAAGAGATGGTGGAGGCGTACAAGGGTGAGGATGCCGAGCCCGAGGAAACCGACGACACCGATTCAAGCAGTGGGGAGGAAGAAGGTCATCCCGGGCCGAGGGCTGCCGTTGCGTCTACTGCCGAGCCGTCGACTGATGCTGTGCCTGCATCAGCTGATGCCGATGTTGTAGCGACCGAAGCCGATCCACCCACCTCGTAGACTTTTTTTTTTTAAAACCCAAGTATCGTTTGGGAATTGTATAACATTTTTGAGCGTGCCGAATGGCATATTGCAAAGACAGATGGCCCTTCTGTGGCCTTTTATTTATCAATGTTAAGTTTGTTTCGGGTTAATGTGTTATGTCCCTTAATTCTGTATGTGTGCATGTCGTATGTAGAATATGTTTGATATAATATTGTTGAATGGTAGTGCTGTATGTATAAAATAGGGAGTTCCAAATTAAACCGATTACAAAAGTGGATGACCGATGGTGACGACCGAAGGTATGACCTTTGTGTACAGAGGTGATGACCGAAGGGGCGTTCACTTGTAGTAATATTTGAGATGTTCTACATTCCAAGGGTGGCCGAGGGTTTGACCATCGGTACCACGCAAACGGTAAGTGCCTGGGCGGCAGATGGTGACAACTTCGTAAGGACCTTCCCAAGATGGACCAAGGGTGCCGTCGTTGGAGTCCTTGGTGGCGAGGGAGATTTTACATAGTACCCAGTCCCCTACTTTAAACGATCGGCGTCTGACGCGCGAGTCGTAGTAGCGGGAAGTCCGTTGTTTGTAGGCGGCATTCCGAAGCTGAGCCTGGGAACGGTGTTCCTCAATGAGGTCCAGGTTGAGAGTGAGCTGGGCTTCGTTTTGCTCTGGCTCGTAAGATGCCGTTCGGCACGAGGGTGCGTTGATCTCGACTGGAACAACGGCTTCGGAACCGAAGGCAAGGGAAAATGGCGTCTCGCCAGTCGACCGTCGGTAGGAGGTATTGATGGCCCATAGCGCTTCCGGAAGGAGATCGGGCCATGCTCCTTTAGCTGTCCCAAGCTTTTTCTTCAGCGTCTTCTTGATGATCTTGTTGATGGCTTCGACTTGGCCGTTCGACTGTGGATGTGCTGGGGAGGCGAAGAACAGGTTGATGCCAAATCGGTGGCATAGGTGCCGGAACTGAGAGGAGTCGAATTGTTTTCCGTTGTCGGTGATTATTGCGTTCGGGAGGCCGAATCGACAAATGATATTCTTCCATACGAAATGTTCAACCCTGGCTGCAGTGATTGTTGCCAAAGCTTCGGCTTCGGTCCATTTGGTAAAATAGTCGACGGCGACGATGGCGAATTTGACCTGTCCCTTGCCCTGGGGCATAGGGCCGATGAGGTCTAAACCCCATTGGGCAAAGGGCCATGGGCTAACAATCGGAGAGAGTGGTTCGGCAGGCAGCTTTGGAACGGAGCCGAAACGCTGGCATTGATCGCACTTCTGGACCAGGGTGGTGGCATCGGCATGGAGAGTCGGCCAGTAATACCCTTGCCGAATGGTCTTGAAAGCCAATGATCTAGCCCCAGAATGGTCCCCACAGGCCCCCTCGTGAATCTCTCGTAGGACGTAGTTTCCCTGCTGCGGGGTCATGCACCGAAGCAATGGTAAGGAGTGACCACGCCGATAGAGAATCTGATTCAGAAGGAGGTATCGTGCCGATCGGCGGCGGATAGTCGTTGCTTCAGGTTTGGGGCCAGGCAACGTGCCGTTGGCGAGGTAGGCGTGGATAGGATCCATCCAACTTGGATCCTGCCGAACGGCATGTACTTCGAGGTCGGTGGTACTGCGCCGAGTGAGGACCTCGATCGGCACACGGCGCCCTATGTTGTCGTCGATCGCTGATGCAAGGCGTGATAGAGCATCGGCGTGGCTGTTCTCGGATCTGGGGATCTGTTGAACTTGGTACGCAGTGAAGTGGTGCAGCAATCGGCGAGCGTGTGTCAAGTAGGCAACCATCGAAGTGTCCTTGGCTTCAAATTCAGTCAGTATCTGGTTCACGACAAGTTGTGAGTCGCTACAGATCCTGAGTTGCTGAGCGCCCATTTCTTTAGCGAGCCGAAGGCCGGCCAACAGAGCTTCATATTCGGCTTCGTTGTTGGAAGTCCGGAATTGGAATCGGATGGCATATTCGATGGTTGTCTGGTCAGGGGCCTTGAGTACCAAACCGGCTCCGCTGCCCTGTCGGTTGGACGAACCGTCCACGTAGAGAGTCCAAAGTGGAATTGACGGATTAAAGATTCCTTCGGTCGGGTGGGCGACTGGTACCGTCGAAGATGAATCGGATGCGGCGTCCTTCGAAACTGGCCCCTCGGACGCGGTTAACTCAGAGATGAAATCGGCTACAGCCTGTCCCTTCTCGGCAGGACGAGGGTGGTAGCGGATGTCGAATTCGCCGAGCTCGATGGCCCATTTGACTAGCCGACCAGATGTCTCCGGTCTCTGGAGTATCTGGCGCAGAGGCTGATTGGTGAGGACGGTAACACTGCGAGCCTGAAAGTATGGCCGAAGCTTGCGTGCTGAAAGGACGAGAGCGTAGGCGAGTTTTTCGAGCTCGGGGTACCGAATCTCAGCGTCTTGCAAAGCATGGCTAACGTAGAAAATGGGGAGTTCGATGCCGTTCGGCTTGCGAATGAGCACAGAGCTAAGTGCCGTTGCCGAAACCGAGAGGTAGAGGATGAGTTCTTCGCCGGGGAGAGGAGTGGATAATAGGGGTGCTCTGCTCATGTAGGCCTTAAGATCTTGGAAGGCGCGATCGCATTCGGCAGTCCAGACAATCTGCCGTTTGCTTCCTTTGAGGGCTTTGAAGAATGGAGCGCACCGATCGGTAGCCTTGGAGATGAACCGGGCTAGAGCGGCGACACGCCCAGTCAGACTCTGAATGTCCTTTTGTGTCTTCGGGACCTGCATGTCGAGTAATGCCTTGATTTTTTCAGGGTTGGCCTCGATTCCTCGTTGGCTGATCATGAAGCCGAGAAATTTGCCCGAGGAAACGCCGAAGGCACACTTGCTCGGGTTGAGGCGCATGTTGTACTTTTTTAAGACGCCGAACATGAGCGAAAGGTTGTGGAGATGAGAATCGGCCGTTCTGCTCTTGACCAGCATATCGTCCACATAGACTTCCATCGAGGTGCCAATGAGGTCGGAAAAAATTTTGTTGACCAATCGCTGGTATGTCGCCCCAGCGTTCTTCAGGCCGAACGGCATGACGTTGTAGCAGTAAAGTCCCTTGTCGGTGATGAATGCCGTGTGTTCGCGATCGGTAGGGCTCATGAATATCTGGTTGTAGCCTGAGTATGCATCCATGAAGCTGAGAAGTTCATGGCCTGCTGTGGCATCCACCATCTGATCGATCCGTGGCAGAGGAAAGCTGGCCTTTGGGCAAGCCCTGTTTAAATCGGTATAGTCTTGACACATTCTCCAGGCGCCGTTTGATTTGTAGACTAAAACCGAATTTGCCAGCCAAATTGGGTAGGTTACTTCCTGGATGAAGCCGATGGTCTTCAGTTTGTCTACTTCGAGCCTCATTGCCTCATACCGTTCGGCATCGTAGGC